AAAGGAAGAAAAAGAATACATGAGCTAATGTTTACTAGGAAAATTAACATCCTCCAGGAAAAAGAGATCAAATAGTAAGATACAAAGCAGTATATGAAAAGGAAAAAATACAGGAAATATAACAGAAAGCAGCAAGATGATTCTGGTTGTTCTACCTTCCTGGGCTACTTGCAAACCAAACTGGCTGGCAGCATAGCTGTTGCATGATCCTGTGTGCAGTGGGTGGTTTGTTATCCGGTAGAGGAGGTTAAAAATATTGGCCCTTCCAAGATTAATACTAATTATTTACTTGCTTGGTGCATACTCTTTACAATGATTATTTATCAGGAGATAGCATTTAGCTGTATCACTGTGAATATAAATACACATTTCTTTAAAGGTTGAGGTCAAGAAAAGACATAGACAAAATCAGCAAGACCAAGAAGTTGGTCTTTGGTGATGTATTGTGCATGAAATTGTTCAAGTTTACCAATTTTAAATAGGTTTCTTATTCATTTATCGAATGGTTAATTCCAGTGGTTATATCAAATATTTCACATGATTGACAATAATAATAAAAGGCCTAACTGAGATATTTTAATCCTTGAAATGCATGACTGTAGATAATTTTCTGTGACACGTCCCTTTGAATGGGCCAAGCTTGGTACTGGATGCTACTTATAAAATGGTGAAAAGACATGCTGTCCACAGTCTAGAACAGGGATTGGCACACTTTTTGTATAAAACACTAGATAGTAAACATTTTGGACTTTGAGGGGAAGGCAGTCTCAGCTCAATTCTACTAGTGTAGCACGAAATTCATAACTGCTCAACTCTATAGTGTAGTATGAAAGCATCACAGACAATACATATATCACAAGTGACATGAGAAAAAAGAAGAGGTTACTGTGCTAGAAAAAATGAGGTTCAAGGAAAGTAGCTCTTGATTTTAGGTAGGCGGAGGAAAAGAGGAGAGAAGGGGGTGACAAAGTTGAGTCTCTGCACAATGTATCTTTCTGATCTCTAATCATCAGTGAAGTCTACACACATCAAGAAATGTTTGTGCTACATGGATTGCTTATGAAAAAAACCAGTGGCTGAGCTCAGTGATGCACCCAGGTTAATATGTGGTTGACACCAAAGCAGCATAAATGGAGAAAATAGTAACGAATCCCTGGCTGACATTGGGGTTACATGTATGTTTACCTGTGCTTAGGAGAAAGGTCTAGAAGCCTATATGCCAACGTTAGTTACCTCTGGGGAATGATTTTGGGGGAGGCAAGTGGTACTTCCACTATTTCTAGATACTTTCTTTCACTATTCTAGATACTTCTTTGGTGTTAGAATATTTTACAATAAATATGTATTACTTCTATAAACTAAAAATAATATAGTGACAAAAAATTGTCTTCTCAGGGCATTTTCATGTGGGTTTGTCATCACTGGGGACAGCCCAAGCTTTCTGATGATTCTGAGCACATTTCTAGAGAGATCATTTTAGTCAGAAATAAAAACTACACAAGATTGGGAAAAAATAAAAAGACTGACCAAACCTAGTATAGAATAGGATGTGGAGTATCACAGCTTATATAAATTTCTAGTGAGAGTATGAACTGGTACAATGACTTTGGAGAACGGATTGCATTATTTAGTATGTGGAAGATAGTTGTACCCTGGGCCGAGCCCGTGGCGCACTCGGGAGAGTGCGGCACTGGGAGCGCAGCAGCGCTCCCGCCGTGGGTTCGGATCCTATATAGGGATGACCGGTGCGCTCACAGTGCTCACTGGCTGAGCGTGGTGCGGCCAGTCTCAAAAAGAACAAAAAAAAAAAAAAAAAAAAGATAGTTGTACCCTATGACCCAAGAAATTCACTCCTGGGTAACATACCGTATAAACCAGTACAAGTGAACACTAGGAAACAGAGGACTGTTTACAAAAGCATTGTTCACAATAGTCAAAAATGGAAAATAATCTAATGCCCACCAATAATATATTCAAACGTTAAATTCTATTGAACAATAAAAATGAACTGTAGCTACTACAAACAATACGGATGTATCTTATTCAAAATAATGTTGAGCAAAATCAGAGATATGATTAAATACGGTTTTGATTCTACTAAGTTTAAAAACCACATTGTTTTAGGATTCACACTTGGCTGGTAAAACTATACTGAAACGCAAAAGGTAGGCGAGTGGTTGCTTCAGAAGTTGGGAAGGATGGTTATATAACAGATGGGCAAAGAGGTTTCTAGATCATGTCCATTTTCTATTTTTTTTCATTGTAGTAAAATATGCATAAAATTTACCATCCTAACCATTTTCAAGTGTACAGTTCAGTGAGTGCTGTGAGTGCATTAGGTGCATTCACACTGTTGTACAACCATCACTACCATCCATGTCCAGAACTTTCTACATCATCCCAAACAGAAGCTTTATACCGATTAAACAATAAGTCCCCATTCTCCAGTTCTCCCAACCCCTGGCAACTGCCATTCTTTCTGTCTCTGTGAATTAAACTA